CATTGAAGAACCTGTCGGTAGTTTTTCACCTATCCAGTCAAGACATTATGCAGTTGGGGGCTCAAGCTGAGAAGAAGGGCAAAGAGATTGCCGAAATAGAGGAGGATATTGGGTTAAACAAGTATCTGAAAATCATATCAACAATGGTCATTTAGGTTACGACAGTTGAGTATGCCTACAAGACATTCAGGATTTTTTGCATGGTGGGGAAGGATCCCAAAACGGTGTTTTGGACGAAGAACCACCACCATCAAATAGGAGGGATAAGTTACTAAAAGAGATCAAGGCTTAATTTGACATACTAGTGAAAGCTGTAGAAGATGGCAAGAATGAGAGAAGCAACTGCAATGATTCTGATTGACTGAGTTGTTAGTTAGTTTTTTTTTTCTTTTTTTTTTAAACAAAGTTGTTACCTAGGTTGTATTTTGAATTTAATTTATCCTCCCAAAATAGATATATATATATATATATATTTCCCATACAATATACAGTGAACAATATTTTTAGACTTGGGATGAACCGTAATTCCTCACCAGTGTGAAAGTTGATTTTAGCCTGTTACGTTACACGGACTCGTTCATTTTGGGAGGTACCCATGTCGACACGACACAACACGACACGACACGGGTACAGGATACGGCCGGGATACGGCGAAATAAAAATGGGTACGGCTAATTGTTATTCTATAATATTTTTGTTACAAAATTTCTTTTTTGTTCTTGGTTTGAACAAGAAGAGGGTAAGATGAGAAGAAACAAACCAAGGAAATACAGAATTTCTGGAAAGGAAAAGAAACCTGAAATGTTGAAGCAAAGTTCAACAAGTCGAAGTCGAAGTGCGAAGTCGATCTCGTCTTCCTTACACATACTTTTGTCGATCTCTTGTTCTTCTCTCTCCAGTTGCGATCTCGATCTCATGTTCTTCGATCTCGATCTCTCCTGTTCTCTCGTCTCTCGATCTCCTCCTCTCTCTCCCTCTCTCTCTCGATCTGTCTTCTCTCCCATATTGTTCTCAATCTCTCTCTCTCAAATCAGCAAGCTACTGACTCCTTTACTACTATTTAAATAATATCTCACCACTACTCCATTTTTATTTAAATATAATGGGTATGTTTGGTTTGGTTTGGTTTTGAGAGATTAATTTCTAAAAATTGTTTTGGGAAGAGAGTTTAGAAATTTTTTTAGTTTGTTTGGTTGTGTAAATTGAAAGTAGTTTTGGAGTTTGGGAGTTTGGAATGATTTGATATTTTGTTGTAATTAAGTAGATATGTGTGAGAGAAAAAGAGATTGAGAAGGAGAGAGAAAAAGTGATTGATTGATGTGTAAAAGAGAGTAATTTTGAAAATTATTTTAAAAAAATTATAAACCAAACAAGTTTTTTAAAAAAAAATTCCCAAAATTACTCTACAAAGCCAAACCAAACATACCGAATGACTCTCTCTCTCCCCACTATTATTTAAAGACAATAAAGACTTTCTCTCTCTCTCTCTCACCCCACTACTTTTAAAATAATGACTTTATAAAGATAATAATTTTATTTAAAAATATTTTTATATTGTATTTAATTAATTAAATATTATTTAAAAATTTATTTAGATAAGTTTTTAACATAATAATTTAATAAATATTTTTAAAAATAACTATTTCCTGTATCCCCGTATCCGTATCCACATTTGGATCCATATCCCCGTATCTTTCATTTTCAATTTTAAGATGTCCAACCCTTAGACATGTACCCGCACCTGATATTCGTACCCGAGTCTGTGTAACGTTGAGAATTGTCTACTTGTGTAAGGTAATTTTGGGAATTAAAGATATATTTATGGAATTCTAGATGTTGCGGTTTACTTCTATTCTGTTTAATAAGTTTTTTTTCTTTCTTTCTTTTTCATGTACCTCTCTACTATTTGTTCTACTTATCTTCTATTCTTTTGCTCATCTTCTTCATTATTATTTTTTTTTTTTTTTTTTTCTTTGAATTTTCTTCTAAAGGAATTTGTAACTTTTATCACCAAAATTGAACTAAAAGCTTAACGTGTAGACAATGATTAAGCCAAACAAATAGACGAAAAATTATTGGTTGATTTTGGGACACTACGTGGTCATACATCATACCAATCATAATTTACCATGCCCCTTTAGGCCAAATTTGGCATACCTCAAATAATCCATCTTTTTATCTTTTTTTCCATCACATCACCTCTTTACTTTTTCTGCACATCTTTTCGTAAAATGACAAAAAGTGCACTTATTTAGGTCATCCCAAACAACCCCTTATAAATTTCATAATTTTTTTAAATTAACTATTTTGTCATGTAAAAATAAAATCTTATAGGACACAAAAAAAGTTAACAAGTTAAAATTGATTAAGTTTCAACACAAACATGAAAGTATCAAACCAAACCAAACTAAAATCAATCCTCAAATCCCACCAAATATGAAAGTATCATGAAAAATAAATAAGACTAAGTTTAAATGAAATGCACGACATGGGTAATTACAGGACTTCTGTCGACAATTTAATCAAATCAAGTAATATTTCTTAGATCTTTGTAATTTCTACCCTTCACTTGAATAACTTTTTTGTTGTGCTGTTTTTTTGTTCTTGTTTGGCATCCAAACATTGAATTCTTTCTATGAGGACAATTGGTCCAAAAATTTTCCTCAATGACTATTTTGAATGGCACGAATCAATATAATAAATGGAAAAAAAAAATTGTAAAAAAATAATTAAAATTTAAATATTGTAAGGCAGTCAATTTTATTTGTATTTTTTAAAATTCTTTTAATGGTTCTCATCCATGTAAGAGCTTAGGTTGATTAGGAGTTTGCTATTTCAATCCTTTCATATAATCAGTAGCTAAGAGAAAAATTCATAAACAAAGAGAATGATGTGACAATGGTCTCCTTTGGTAAAGAGCTTAAAAGCTACTTTTTGGCTTTTAACTTCTTTTGATCACATCACTTCTCTATTTTTTTACACGTTTTTTTAAAAATACTAAAAAAACCAAAATAAATAGCTTTTAACCTATTTCTCAAAACAAGCCAAGGTATATTGTTCCTTTCAAAATGTGATTTTTAGTTAAAAAGTCATTATAAATTGTCATATCATTCTCTTCATATTTTTACATATTTTTTTTTTATAGAAAGTAAAATAGTTAAATTAAGCAATTCTCAAAGGGATGGGCTTCTTTCATGTTGCAATCTCAGCATGGGAGAACTTAAGAGGCCTATAGGGCCCACCACAAGTTCCATTTCAAAGATCTGAACCGTTCATTTTGTAGAACTCTAATGTATAATATTCATGACAAAATTTAGGTCAATCCAATAATTGTAATCTTTTTAATTTATAACATTTGTCTGTGAAAAAGTGAATAATCTAATTTCAAAAATATGTGTTGTCAATTTTTTCAATAACAAATATAGTACAATGAAAAATTTATGAATATTGAATCGAACTAATTTTTTTTCATGGATATTATACATTAAGTGTTTTACAAAATGAACGGTTCGGATTATCAAAACAAGACTCGTGGTGAGCTCTATAAGCCTCTCAAGTTGTCTCATGTTGAGATTTCAATATGGGAAAAACCCAACCCTAAATTGTTGTAGTGATTGAATATCTGTTTTCATTTCCAAATTTGTAATGTTAAGATTGACTGTGAATTGAAGAGCATGTTGAAGAGACCAAAGTTGTGTTGTAATACTAGAGCTGTAATACTAGATATGAGCTCAATGATACGAAAATCACAAAAATAAGCCAATTTTTTGTTCGAAACAGGTTTGGTGGTTCATCTAAACCAAAACTTAGGCCTCGTTTGGAAACCTTCCTTTTTAATCAAAAAGTTAAAAAGTTACTAAATTAGCCAAAAAGCCAACAACCCATACCAAAAAGTCAAAGATTCTCTTTTCTCTCTAACTTTTTGCACATCTTTTCGTAAAAAGCCAAAAAATTATCCCAAACATTCTAGTATTTTTTAACTCATATTTTAGCCAAATAGTCAAAAAATTACTAAATTAGTCTGTTCCCAAACGAGGCCTTAGGCCGGTCTGATTTTAAAACATTGATTAGGACTGCAAGCCCTAAAAAAAAAACTCAATTATCTAAATTCCTAAATCTAATGCACAAAGAAAGTGCTCCCAAAACAATCTCAAAATAACAAGCAATTCTTTCATCCTATATAACCAAAATACACCCGAAAGCACTACACTAGGGCAAACCTACCCACTATCATTGATCAGTTCTATCACATAAACAATAAACATTAGACTAATACTTTTTGGACACTTGCTAACATCTTATTATCAAAGTTCCATAATTTGACATAAATATCTTATACCCTAAAAGATGTATTATTGTCAAGGATAATCCAATCAAAGTTTCACTTAAAATTTAATGAAAAAAAAGACACGTAAATGTGTTAGAAGATGGCTTAGTAGGATGAAAATAATGTAGTTACTGTATATGCTTGCTACAATCTGTCGAATTATTCACTAATATGGTATATTAGCATGAAGTAATTATCATTTAATTTGTGTAAATAATGAATATTTAAATATGTAATATAACATATTCCAAAATAATATAAGACCAAGATCTAAACCACTAGTAGTTATATAAGGGCTAGAATAAAGTAGAAATTGTGAGTAATCTAAATTTGATACCCAAAAAAGTAGATATAGAAATAAACCCATATACAGAGGTAAAGAGAACCTGCAATAACAAATAATGCCTATTAAAATAAAGAAAAATGTTTGAGACCCCCAAAAAACTCCCACAATTTGATCCACAATGTTGTGATATGATAAGTGTCAACTTTTAATTTGTTACACACCCAATGATATAGGGCCAAACTCCCTTGCCACATTATTGTGGATGATTTTATGAGTCTAAAAGTGTGGGTCTCTAACATTTCTTACAAAAAAAACAAAACAAAAGTACTAGTACACCAAACCAAACAAAATGTAACAATAGAAGCACAGGAACATAAAATTACTAACCTCCTCTGCAACCAGGACAAGGGGGCATGGTTTCAAATTCCTGTGAATTGAGTAGTTCAATTAATTTCTAATACATATTAGAGAGAAAAATAAATTTGCGGTTGAGTTTGACACGACATTATAGCACGACTCGAATCGTACACAAAGTCAGCATGTTATAGTTGACCATTTCCCAACACAAACATAGCTATGACACAACCTAATAACACGAATATCAAACAGGTAGGGTTAGTACCAAATCTACATGACACGAAGTTGACACAAATAACTATACAATGAAAACTTAGTTACACATTTTAATATTATTTCTACTAAAAGTGATCATGACATTTTTCAATCTCTTATGTAAAAGAATAAATAAATAAACCCACCTTCATTTCTTTGATCCGAGAGCCTAACCAATGACCATACTAACCCAAACCTAAGTGAAAAGCAAGAGCTTCTACCATATGAAGTAAGTGCATATAATGCCAAGACCCTGAAGTAAGGATGTCACTCACTCAACTAGAAAGGTAGCAAGTATCCACTTCGATCATAATCCAATAAACCTATTACTAGCGGTGTTCTATCACTTATTTACATGTTCAATGTTATATAAAAAAATCGCATTGATATATTGACACTAATATGTATGCTACAAAAGGCATGGGGGCTCTTATGCATCTTGGTTTTTCATGAATATCATTTGGACCTTGGCCTTTGACGTTGTGATTTTATGGGAACATGATTCAAAATGTACTGATGAAAAAAAATGAAAAAATGAGACCTAAACACTGTTATCACTTTTTCAGTTTATAAAGACCATGATTAATCACCTTACATAAATCTAGAGTCAAGAAAATTAATTCTGAATAACAAATACACTGACCCACAATACAAATTCGCAATAGAGTAGAATTGAAATGCAGTTTGTTTCAAATTTCGACTCAACCCCTTATTTCCTAAACCACCTAGAGAAGCATTTTATATGAAACTGTATGGCGCAATTGAATTAACATGTATTCTTCAAACCATAGTTGTCAATCCCATGCCGCACCAGCCGGTACATACCATACCAGAAAAAAACAGAATCCAAATAGACCAATACCATTTCGGTTAGTTTCTCGGTGAGTACTGGCCAATTTTGTAGATACCGGACAATACCGGCCAATTGAACGGCATGCAAGCAAAAGTGAATTTCTAAATTTTTTGTTTTATTATATATATTACATATCAAATATGTGATATGATATATGTTGTTACTCTACAAAAACAATACAGTACAACTTTAGATGGTCAAATTATATGCTTAAATTATTTACTAATAGACAACATTTTTAATATATACATAATATTTTTTTAATAAATCCGAAAACATACTGATACCGGTACCAGTACCAATCGAGAAAATGATATTTGTCCAATACGGGATTAATAACTTTGCTTCAAACAACCATAAACCAACGATTAGCAGCAAAGCTTTATAACCCATGATTTTAATTATCAATGCATCAGCGCAAACAGCATAGTGGGTTAGGTTTAGTGGAGTAGGTTTAAGTGGGTGTAGTGGGTTAGGTTTAGTGGAGTAGATTTAAGTGGGTGAAGTAGGTGATAAATTTTAACACATACTGATACCGGTACTAGTACCAATCGAGAAAATGATATTTGTCCAGTACGGGATTAATAACTTTACTTCAAACAACCATAAACCAACGATTAGCAGCAAAGCTTTATAACCCATGATTTTAATTATCAATGCATCAGCGCAAACAGCATCCAATCAACATGAATCAAAAGTAGGAGATAGAAGCAATTAGAATTAAACAACAAAGATTAAACTACAGAGAGAGAGAGAGAGAGCCCCAAATCGAAGATGGAAATTCAAACGAGGTATAGGTACTGTTTGTTACGGCTTTGAGGTGATTATAGTTTATTTTAAGCTGAAAAAATTCTGCTTGTAACTTATTAGGTAAGAATAGCATAAATAAGCTGGGGAAAAAAAAAAAAAACTGATTATTTGGAAGTTTAGAGCAAGGGTGCCTTTTCTGGTTTTTTATTATCAACTTTTAGCTTAAAAATGTTCCACCAAACAAACAGGGCCATACCCAACTTGTGAAAGAAAATCAGACAAATCTAATAGATCTACCACAAAATCAACAATAAACATGATCAGTGCGTGCAGATCTGAAAGAAAATCAACGACATCTCCTCACTATGTTTTCAGTATGAAGAGAGAGAGATAGAGGTGATCAAGCATACCGTCCAAAGATCAAGAGAAATCGGTGACGCCTAAATGTTTCGCGGTTGCCCTAGTTGTTTTTGTTTTCTTTGGTTTGCTTTTTTACAAAAGGTTTTCGGTGAGACTTAGTCTTGTGATTGGATTGATAATATAATTTTTTTTTGTGTGTGCATAATTTGACATTTTTTTTTTTATTGGAAAAAAAAGAGAGATTATTTTGATGAATAAAATGGTACAGACGGTACAACAAAATTATATCAATATTAAGGAGAAAGAAAAAATCAAGTAGCCATCGTTACTAAATAGCACATCCCAATAACTAATTAATCAAATCCAAAGTCCAAAACCCCAAACTACGAATGTAACTCAACAGGTTCAAACAAGTTGAAAGCCTATTCAAGCCGAGTCTAGATCATCTAGAGTGATCTCTCTATAGTAAGATATAATGACTAATATTAAGAGAAATCAAAACGATGTAGTTTTGATTAATACCCCCCCAAAAAACAACAATGCAAAAACAATGCAGAATGAAGAGAGAGAGAGGAGACCGTCGGTACATGACCAACCCTGCTTTCGCCAGTTGGTGGCCACCCTTCCCACACCCTCACAGACCGTTGCCAAGTCACTCACGCCTTTCCTCCAGTCACCCACTGCATCCCTATCCCTCTTCCATCTTCTCATCTTCCCCAAAAATCCTAGATCTAGCCCACTATCCATAGATCGAACCCAACTTCACCACCACCGATGGCTAGAGATGGTGGGGGATGGGTAGCTGCCGACAAGAGGGTCGAACTCCTTCTGATTCACTGGCGACAACTGTGGCAGCTAGGGGTGTTAAAAAACCGGTGGAATTGGTAAACCGATCTAATCCGGTCCAAACAATCGGTTAGTCTGATTTTTTTAGTTACGATTCTGGTTCTAATTTTGAAAATGGTGGAACGGTTCAATTTAGTTCGGTTCCCGGTTCCAAGGCTTTGGTTATGGTTCCGAACCGAACCGAACCAGACCAGACCGTAACATATTTGTTTATTATTTTTTATTTTTATATAAAAAATTTACGGTTCGGTTACAGTTCTATTTTTCTGGAACCATAAGAAACGGTTCGGTTCCTAATTTACTCTAAAATTGGACCAATCCGATCCGTGTACACCCTTAGTGGTGGTGAGACCCAAGTCGTTTTCCGAACGACAATGACGTCTTTTGTTTTTTCTAGGTTGGGTTGCTCAACATAGATCTGGGTCGTCGCCGTTTTGTCATTGGTCTCGCCGTTCGGTTGTGGGTTTCATATTTTGCCTTGGGTTTTGCATTGTTCACCGTGAGTCTATGTCATTCTACCAAAGCTAGCTCGCCGCAAGGGTTGCTAGTAAGAGATTTGTGAAGAGATGTGAAGAGAAGGAAGAGAGAGATCTCTTCGTTTTTATTTATTTATATTTAAATCTTTGCATTAAGTAAAACGAAATCGTTTTGGCCAAAATGATGTCGTTTCAATAAACTGTAGGAAAATTCTAGAGAGAACTCTAAAAGATCCTAATGCATTCAAGCCTAGCCCAAGTTCTACTGAGAATAGTTCAAACCTGCCCAAGCCCAACTTGCAATCCAAATTTCTATGCTCAAGTCCAAACTGAGCTAGGCTCGAGTTACCCGAATTGCACAGAGATTCAAGATTTCATTTTCTAGGTTGATTAATTTATTAAAATTAGACTCGATTAACATTTTTTTTGATAAAAAGTAAATAATATATATAATATGAGAGAGATGTGGAGGGGAAAGATAAGAATTGAAGAACAGATGCGCCGTTGCAGTGGTTTGTAATTTATGAGTGAGAAAAGAAAAAGATTTGTGTTATGTTTGTTACTTGTGTATATAATATATAAAATAAATATGATCTAATAATCTAAATTATTTTAACATCAATAATTTATATGTATATTTACGTATTTTATGTATTTATATATATATACAATTCAAGCTTCAAGTTATCTAATGTCTCTATCTAAGCCAATTCAAATTTAATTCAAGTGTTTGGGAAATGGGTTGACTTTTTGACTTTTTGGCTATTTTAGTGTTAAAATTTACCTACACCTACCACCACCTACTACCACACCTACTACACCTACCACCAATTTACCCTCACATACTCCTCACCTACTACCCAAATCCTCTTCTATATAATAGGAATCCTTGTAATATCAATGATACAACAATCAACATCATTCAATAATACATCATTTTTTTTTACATGGTATCAGAGCAGGTTTAAAACCTAATATTTTTCGCTTCACCGGCGGGCGGCAACCTCGCCTTGGCCGCCCGCCGGACCTCAACCTCACCCTTGATCTGAGCACACCACACAACTCAGAGCTTTGCAAACCTCATCCTTCTCCAGCCGTGGTTCAAAGACAGTCACAACATTCACAAGAGAAGGGTCCAACCCTATCTCCTCATTTGCTTCCCTAGTTGCTGTTTCCGCATCATCTGCATCTCCCTCCTCTGCTTTCCCACCTGGCAATGAAACTTCACTTGAGTGAGAAGAGAGCTTGGAAGCGCGCTTAGTGAGAATGACACGAAGATCATCATCATCCCCTTCAAAGAGACAGATCAGAACAGAGGCTCTCTTGGGTCTGGATCTTTCGGGTTTTCCGGTAATTGGGGTTGCAGATTCGACAAAACCCACCTGAGAAACCACCTTCCCTGCACTCTCTTCGATTCTCTGCTCTTCGACATCGGTTGTTTCATCGATCGTCGGGGGAGGGGGTTTGTAAAGTCGGAGCTGTCGAACTAAGGTTGTGAGCTTTATCGATCCCCCGAAACAATTGTTTGAATTCATGATGAGTCTGGAAAAGAGAATTTGGAGAAGATGGTCTCGTCGTCGATGCCATTGATAGTGATACCCTTCTTGCTATGGAGAGCATTGAGTCTTTGCATAGCAAATGTGCTTGGTACCCGTAATAATATCATTCAAAGGGACAGAAGGCACAACTGCACCAATGTTTTACATCGCCTGGTTACACACCAAACCCATCTCTCTCTTCTCTCTCTGCAACATACACAAACAGCCTGCAACTCTCTAGCTGGGTATCTCTCTCTACATCACCCACGTGTCTCTCTCTCTCTCTCTTTGAGGGGGCCACCCAGTCAAACGGCTTCCTCCTTTATTTTATTCATCACCATATGCTCCACTCACCACCCTTTTTTACTTTTCTTCTTTTATTTCTTTATTTTTTCTTTACATCACTTGACACCCCACTCTCGTTGTCAGACCATGCCACCAACTTAACAAAGAAATCATTCAGAGCAATCCCAGCCTTGGCATCAAAGATGCTCGACCTGCTGTAGCCCACAAAGTCAGTGGATACCACTAAAATATCTTATCCTCGCCTTCATTGATTCCACTGATTTCTCCCACTTCATTTTATTTATTATTATTATTATTATTATTATTATTATTATTATTATTATTATTATTATTATTATTATTATTATTATTTTCTTTAAAGAACTTAGTTGGTGCCATATTAATTACATGTCCAGGTTGGTTTGGTGGAGCATTAAATAATTCAAGTTTTGATTTTCTTTCATTAAAAAAAAAAAAAACTTAAAAAAAAATGAGAAAAAAAAAGTTATTTATTTATTTTTTTTAATATTACTTGTCGATTTTATTTGTAAATTACGGTGAGCCCTCAACTTTATCCATGGACTCTGTAAAGACCAAACATTCTTGAAGACGTAATGTGAAGCATGGCTGATAAAGTGAAATTATGCATGTCCGAGAAATCTACAATTTCTCATACACGCAAGGGGAAAATGTAAGAGGAGCTAATTTGAGCCCACTAAATTAATTAGGCCCAATAGTCCAAGGATGGTGGACCCGAATTTATCACAAGTCCAAGATTAGTGGGCCCGAATTTATCGCCATCAAACGGGCCGAATCACTCTAAGCCTCGAAAGTGTTCGGATCCACGAATTTGGAGACTTACTTGGGCCCGGACTCGAAAGGGTATTGAGCAAGCCTAGAGATTTGACTCGTTAAGGTCTGGAAAGAGAGTGAGCAGACCACGGGAAGATGAAGCCATTTTCTGGACAACAGAGTGTTACAGAGTGTCTCTCTCAGGAATCTCTCTCAGAAAACAGAGTGTTACAGAGTATCTCTCTCAGAAATCTCTCTCAGAAAATGAAGAGTTTTTCAGAGTTTTTCTAGCAGGTTTTTTGTCTCTACTTCCAAGCCTCAGCCTCCGCTTCGGTTTATAAAGACCATGACAAAGAGGCCGACACGCATTCTGTCGATCACGTGCATCGCCGCGTGTCTGGCACGCCTTTTGATGGCACGCCTTTTGAAAAATTGAGCGCACCTTTTGAGGATGCGATTTTTTATGGGTCCGACAAGACTCTGTAAACTGTCTCGACATTGATTCCGGTTAGCTCCTTTAAGGGTCCGACAAGACTCTATAAACTGTCCCGACATTTGATACCGGTTAGCTTTTTCAAGGGTCCGATAAGACTCTGTAAACTGTCCCGACATTTGATTCCGGTTAGCTCCTTTATGGGTCTGACAAGACTCTGTAAACTGTCCCGACATTTGATTCCGGTTAGCTCCTTTATGGGTCCGACAAGACTCTGTAAACTGTCCCGACATTGATTCCGGTTAGCTCCTTCATGGGTCCGACAAGACTCTGTAAACTGTCCCGACATTAATTTTGGTTAGTTCCTTTATGGGTCCGACAAGACTCTGTAAACTGTCCTGACATTGATTTCGGTTAGTTTCTACAAGGGTCCAGCAAGACCCCGTAAACTGTCCTGCTACAACGGTCCGACATGACCCCATAAACTGTCTTCTACAACGGTCTGACACGACCATACAGTGTCTCCTATCCTCTTTTATTTTTATGTATTTTCTTGTTTTGTTCCTCTCTCCAAACTCAAGTTGGTTAGTTTCTATCATCCTTGAGTTTGCGGGGGGCTGTTAAAATTTACCTACACCTACCACCACCTACTACCACACCTACTACACCTACCACCAATTTACCCTCACATACTCCTCACCTACTACCCAAATCATCTTCTATATAATAGGAATCCTTGTAATATCAATGATACAACAATCAACATCATTCAATAATACATCATTTTTTTTACATTTAGCCTGAGGTTAAATCGTTTGTTTGTGTTGGCTTTTTGACATTTGTGAGAGAAAAAGTGAAATGATTATGATTTGGATGTGACATTTTGTCCTATTGGCTTTTTAGCCTATTTTATCTTTTTGTAGCTAAAAAAGCCACCAACCTCAAAAAAGACACTTGCCAAACGAGGTGTAAATTTCTGCCCAAACTCTTACTAAACTTAAACATATATTGCCCGAGTACTAAAAAAGTTTTGGATTGACCTTGGGTTGCTCAAGTTGAGCCCACTCAAATTACACTCCTAAATCAAACAACCAACACAAGAACCGAATATCAGACCAAACAAATGACAACAATGCAAAACTCCCAATAAACAATAGACAACTCCATCACTTTAGCCCTCAAAGCACCAACACAATAACTCTACAAAAAAGTGGCAGCAAACTAGACCCATCAGGAACCCCAAAGAGAACGGCAACAAGAGGCCCAAATTCCATATCAGCAACAACCCAAGGCCAAATATCAAGGCATCGACTTCCAAACGACTAGTAACAGCAAATTGAGATCCAGACTAAAAGTCCATCAAGACAGATATCCCCCACATAAGAGACTATTCAATCCTAAGAGCGAAAGTAGGATACAAAATGTGAGATTAAAGAGAAGTTTTAACTAATTTATTAAATTATAAAATTGATAAGATTTTGTCAATCTCTCCTTTTAATCCCGAGTCAATCCAAACATAAAATATGATATACGATTCAAAAGAATTGATAATCCCAAAACTACCTATCTTAAAAATGTTAATCATATCTAATCCAGTCCACTCAAATAAATGTAATCACAACTGTACAACCAATAAAGACAACATATTTCTATCTGCAATTGTTAAAATATTTGCAGTATGCTGGCATAAAGCATGATCTGCAACACTAGAAACATAGAACCCATGATGACTATATGAAATTAATTTAGAATTTATTAATTACATATATTAAAGGTTGAGTTCATTAGGATCTTGAAGAGTGAAGGATCTTGAAAAGTGAAGGGTAGGGTCACTTAATTAGGTTCAAAGTGTCCTGATTGTATGTGAAGGCACATGTTTGAATTAATTGTTAGCCTTAGATGTATCCAAAATCACTATATAAATTGACATGTGATCATTTGAGGATGTACAAGGAAGAAGAAGAAATTTAGAAGTAAAACTTAGTTAAGTTCTTACAAAGGTATTTGTGCAGGGTAGGGTCACCTAATGAGGTTCAAAGTGTCTTGATTGTATGTGAAGGCACATGTATGAATGAATTAATTGTTAGTCTTAGATGTATCAAAAAATCACTATATAAAGTGACATGTGATCATTTGAGGATGTACAAGGAAGAAGAAGAAATTTAGAAGTAAAACTTAGTTAAGTTCTTAAAAAGGTATTTGTGCCCCTCAAGATCTCTATACGACCTTTGGGTCGTAGATCTCCACAAATCTCTAGTTTATCTTCTTCACACACACGTCATATTGAGTTTTATGTATGGCTTATTAGTGTCCACCATATTATGCTAGCTTCTAGAAATTCATGAGTTCCTAGACAGAACAGAACAGTCTCATTGTTAACATAGTATGAATTAATTTTTCCTGGTCTGGATATCTCCAAAGAAACCCTAATGTGTAGATTTTGCTTGTACATGTTTTACTTGAATTTGTTTACAGAAATTACCTTGGTGACATCTTCTTCTAAGTATATAAACCAAGATGTCAACATGTGCTTTTCAAATTTCATAGTGATCCTGCGACAACCACAAAATCAAAGACAATAAATAAATAAGAAAAAAAATCCTTTTGCAGATACAGAGGATGAAATGTATCTAATGATTTTATTCAAGTTGGTGCATAAGGGTGATTGGGGGTAGATTAAGCACTTCCTTGAGCTACACCCAAATGCACTGAGTGCCAAAATTTCATCTTTCGGCGAGACAACCCTCCACATTGCAGCCCTAGCTGGGCAAGTAAAGATTGTGGAGGAGTTGGTCCATATGACAAGTGTAGAAGATTTGACACTTAAAAATGATTACGGTGAAACAGCTCTTTCTCTTGCTGCCGGAGGTGGAATCACAAGGGTTGCCAAGCCTTTGGTGAGAAAGAATCATGCCTTGCTAGGTATTAAAAATATTTATGGTGTCATCCCAGCTGTTGTGGCTGCTCAATTCGGCCATACAGATATGGTATATTTTCTTTATTATATGACTGAAGAGGAAGACCTAGATCCTGAATCAAGTAACCAAGGTGCTAAGCTTCTTATTACTTGTATCGTTGCCCAAATATATGTTAATAAAATTTAAATTTTCATTAATATTAGCAAAAAATTAACTAGCAAGTAGTTTTACTGATTCCCTTAAACGTATGTGTTGGCAATGCCATAGATATTGCTTTGGATATGGTACTACAGTTCCCAGAATTGGCTACTGCCATATTGGAGGAACATTCTGGTGGAACACCAAATACATTGGCTACTAGAAACCCAGCATTCCCTAGTGGAACTCAGTTGGTGTTTGGAAAAAATGGATCTACTCATGTGGGTATTTCTATTCACTCAACTAAACTTTTATTCTCGGTCCACTAGTTTACAGGTTTCATCTAAACCCCCTATACTGGGGAAGACAGCCCAAACTTTGAATTTAATTCAGATCAAAGAGAGGAAATAACAAACTTCATTTTGAATGGGTGAATAGTATTTGTCCCATCAGAACAAAAATGATTTCAAACAATTTTAGGAGTTCAAATTATAGACCTGAAATGAAGGGTACATTCACTAGGAGTTCAAATTCAAGATTCTAATGGTTGTACACTTGCAGCACTCAGTCATTGGTATGAACTAGTATGGGATCTCCTAAAACTCCTAGGTATATGAAGGGTACATTCACTTCAATCCTATTTTGAATTTTTTTATGTAGGTCTTTAACTTTGTTTTGATTGCAGTCCCCTACATCAAGCATGTGTATGTTATAAAATTAAAACATGCTCAAGTCCTTGAGTTGTTGAACTGCATTTCCCAACATATATCAGCTTTGAATTATTCACAAATAAAGGATACAGAATTATTTCAAGCAGTATTCAACGCTATAAAGCATGGGAATGCTGGGTTTGTCAAAGAGATCCTCACAGCGTATCCTGATATCGTATGGACTGTTGATGAGCACATGCGCAACATATTTTTATATGCAGTTCTGCAACGGCAAGAAAAGATTTTCAGCCTTTTACACAAAATGGGGCCGAAAAAGAACATAATAGCAACTAGCTTGGACAAAGATAGAAACACCATCTTACATCACGCGGCCATGCTATCACCTTCTTCTCATCTTGACGGCATTTCTGGTGCAGCTTTGCAGATGCAGAGAGAGTTACAATGGTTTGAGGTGACCCACACACATTTTCCACGTCTTCGAATCCTTTTTTTTTCTTTGGTTCTTGCAAACAAGTGTCCCTAGAGCACAAGAAAAAGACCAAAAAATTAAAAAACACGACACTTTTCACTGAATTCAATGCACCTTTTATTTTTAATTTTATTTAAATGAATACACTTTTTTAACATTTTCACCTATTTTCAAGACACAACTGACCTTAATCCCAATATTAAACAACGCCCCAAGGGCACTCTATAGCATTTGCCTTTTCCTGTTCCTATTTTTATTTGGGGGTTAAGTGTTAAATATGCCATCAAAATTGCAGGAAGTAGAGAAAGTTGTTTTGGTTCGTGCCAATTCAAGGACACTAAAATGTTTGCCAGAGTCTAGTAAAACCTAACTTGGACAGAAAAACTATGCAAGTCAGTTGGCCTCTATTATCTCCTGGGATAGTTCAACCATTTTAATATTTTATACAGAAGTAGATTGGTTGGTGGCTAATATTTCAGAATATCAAAAAAATCTACTACCACATGACATTGTTAAAATATTGCATGCACATCTTGCTGCAATTTTAGTTCCACATGATGGTCTAGTTCCTACCACATTATTTTTGTGCTTAGTTATAGGAATCGTGAAACTAGGTGGCGAATCTTCGTTTGCGTTTCTTAGAAAGAAACGTGTAAGAATCGCGTTTCGTCTGTAGAGACAGAAACGTGATCCTGTCCAAGATGGGATCGTTGGTGGAAATAAAACAACTCAGAAGCAATAAATAAAACTAAAAATATGGATCTGAAGCAGATTTTAGGTATGGATCTTAAGCACAAATACAAAAAGAAAAGCAAAACCTAAATAACTACAAGATTTAAATATTAGTTACAGAATTTGGGTATTTAGCTGAAGCAGAGAGTGGCTAAAGAAAACTTGTAAATCATCAGTTTTAGGGCACTTCCATGAGCAGAGTAATTTCCGAAAATAGTTGATGCACACATACATACATTACACCACAATCAGCGAAGGATGGCTCTGGGTGTGCTATTGGTGATGCAATTGGTGACATTGAGGGTAGAAAATTTGTATTGTGTGTGGGAAGAAAGGAGAAAGGAGAAAGGAGAAAGGAGAGGGGAGAGGGGCGAGGGAAGGGATGTGAGAAATATTGCACCTATCAAAGAGAGAAGGGAGAGGTACTGTAAAGTCGGTGGGCAACAAGGAGGTCGATCCTTAAAGAAGCTCGATCGTCGATCCTTGATCATCAAAGGGAGCTTGATCGTCAAAGCAGAGGCAGTGGGACTATGAAGTTAGTGAATGAGAGAAGATAGGAAGGAAAATAAGTAATGATGATGGGTAAGGTAGTGGGGGCCATTTCCCAATATAAGCCATTTTTGTATTGTATTTTTAAAACTAGGCCAACTTCTGACGGAATTCTAAAACTAAGTTAAAACGCTATTACTATTCGCGCTTTTACTGTTAGGAGCATAAAAGTAGGTGAACAGTAAACTCGCTATTACAAATAGCGACTTTGATTAATAAGTCGCTATTACAAATAGCGCTTCTAGTGTTATTCTTTTTCCAAATAAAAAACGCTGTTCTTAACGGCGCTTTTCACACAAATTTTTGTTGCAAAAAAACGCTATTATCAATAGCGATTTTAACAAAAACAAATTTCCCAAAAAACGCTGTTTATAGTAGCGATTTTAACAAAAAAAATTTTGCAGAAAAAACGCTATTCATAATAGCGATTTCAGTTCAAATTTTGTTTCAAAAAAACGCTATTCGTAATAGCGATTTTAACAGAAATTTTTTTTTTTCCATAAACTTTGTTGGAATAAAACGCTATTTTCAAGATAAAACAAAAGAAAAAAACATAAAGCAATTATCATGTTAAAATATGTTTTTTTTTTTCTTTTGTTTTTGTTTAGAATGTGTAATTCATAAATTTTACATAATATGAAAAAAAACCTCTTCTCATATATTAATTTTACATACTATTCTCTCTCCCTCTCTCTCTCTCTCTCTCTCTCTTCAATATGACTATATTTATTCATTCATCATGAGGTTCTCCAAAATTTTTTGGCGCTTAACATGCCCGCCCTCTGTTTTCAATGAAACCCACCTGAGGTTAGTGTGAGGACATAATTTTTGAATGACAACACGTGGCCGAGGTGTCACCGAAGTGCCAACCGAGGTGCCACGTGTCTTGGTCATGATGAGGAGATGATCTCGGTTAGATCGAGGTTATCAATGAGAGTACCGAAATTCGAGATAAGCGGATAAAGAAGAAGAGTCCTAAAATGGGAGGAGACTTCAGTTTGGGTAAAGATGAGACTCTTAGAGAGCTTATCCTGATCCTATTGGGAGTCCAAGATTGGCAGTAATCCTGAGTCCATTGGAGTTAGGCTTCCATTGGGATTAGGATTGAGTTGGTTATAAAAGAGAGGCACCCTCATAGGTCTGAGGTATGTCTTTTTATGCTCAAGCTAGTGAGTTTAGCACTATTGATTATCTTTGAGAGATATTGAGTACTGACTTGATCGTCGGAGTACCCCCAGGTGGCGAACCACCACCGGAGTCTTCTCTTTCTGTTGCAGGTTAGTCAGGTGCCATCTATTCTGTTGGTGCTCTCCAGCTAGATACTACGATTGCAGTGTGGTCAGATTTTCACCCACGCAATTTGGCGCCATCTGTGGAAAAAAAATGATAATAGATGGCCATCACTGTACAAGATCAACGTATCAGAAACGACGAGTTTAGCAAAGATGGAGAATATGTCGACATAAACAGAATGAAGACCCTTCCAGAAGGGACGCAAAGACAAGGGGCATGAGAGCTCCCAAGGAGATGACATTCAAGTATAGAAGAGCTCAGCCCAAGTGAGCAGATCCCGGATTCCAGATCCTGGATCCCAGATCCTAGAAGACAAGATCTCGGCCTAAATAAGTAGGTCTGAGAAGACAAGAGCTCAGCCTAAGTGAGCAGATCCCGGATTCCAGATCCTAGATCCCGGATCCCAGAAGACAAGATCTCGGCCTAAATAAGTAGGTCCGAGAAGACAAAAGCTCAGCCTAAGTGAGTAGATCCCGGATTCCAGATCCTGGATCCCGAATCCCAGAAGATATGATCTCAGCCTGGATGAGTAAGTCCGAGAAGAGAAGAGCTCAACCTAAAAGAGCAGATCCAAGATTCCAGCAGACAAGACCTCGGCACTTAAGCCCGAGAAGAGAAGAGTTCAGTGAGCAGATCTCAGATCCTAGAAGATAAAAAGAAAACATACAAGGTCAGACTGCAGTTAGCCAGGTTGAAGACCTTTTATAAGGTCCACAAAAGAGCATGTGAAACCCATGTAGGAGGCAAAGAGAAGAGAGATTATTGTTTAACACTTGTTGAAATTTGTAGCAATTTATAAGTTGAAGTTAAACCGAGATTATTGTTTAACACTTGTTGAAATTTGTAGCAATTTATAAGTTAAAGTTAAACCGAGATGATTGTTTAACGCTTATTGAAATTTGTAGCAATTTACAAGTTGAAGTTAAACCGAGATCATTGTTTAACGCTTGTTGAAATTTGTAGCAATTTACAAGCTGAAGTTAAACCGAGATCATTGTTTAAACACTTGTTGAAATTTGTAGCAATTTACAAGTTGAGTTAAACCGATATAATGTTCAAACGCTTGTTGAAACTTGAGAAAAGTTTACAAGCAGAGTTAAACCGAGATGATATTTAACGCTTGTTGAAACTTGAGAAAAGTTTACAAGCAGAGTTAAACCGAGATGATGTTGAACACTTGTTGAAATTTGTAGCAATTTACAAGTTGAGTTAAACCGATATAATGTTCAAACGCTTGTTGAAACTTGAGAAAAGTTTACAAGCAGAGTTAAACTGAGATGATGTTTAACGCTTGTTAAAATTTGAGAAAAATTTACAAGTCAAGACAAGGTTGTACTGAAATAAGTATCTACATCCTTGCCGAGACTACCATGTTGCCAGGACTTGGAAGATAATGAAAGACAGAAGTCTTAAGAAGTAAAAGAAAAGTGGCGAATTTTTGAGCAACACTTGTGAAAACATTTGTTACAATATTTTCAAGTATTAAACCGAGGCTGAGATAAACCGATTAGTGGGTACAACCGAGGTGTTACACCCGAGGAGATTACACAGTTAAGGTGTAAATTGAAGACATGCAAATTATTTTTCCATACAAGAGTAAAAAGAAGAACACATCGGTTAGAAAGGATCTGTGACTGCGGCATGAAGCCAACTTCCATAATGTGATCCTAAGTGCAACTTATGTTCACATTAGTGGGCAAGGAGAAGGAATGATAATGTTACCACTTATTGAAATTTTAAAACAATTTACAAGTTGAAATAGTTAAAGATTACGAAGTCTACCACTTGTTGACATTTTTTAGCAATTTACAAGTTTGGTATAGCCGAGATCACACTAAAAGACGTTTTCCGAGATATGATCATCCGAGATGACCAACTAGCTTGTTAAAAGCTTAGAAGGTTGGGAAAAGTGAAGCATGTATAAAAGAAGGCAAGTACAAATGAGGAAGTAACACTTGAATACCTCTGTTAAAGAACACACTTGTAGAAATAAAGTACCCAGGTTATGTTAGTCCAAGGTGTCTACCCAATGATAATTCCGAAGTAATGCTTATCCGAGGTGTCTACCTGATGATAATTTCGAAGTGATGCTTATCTGAGGTGTACTACCCCGAAGTGATTTGCAGGATATATTCGAAAAAAGTTGAAAAAATTCTAAAGTATGGGGAAGCATACAGGCAGTAAGCAGAAGAAAACATTCAATACTCAGAAAAATATAAACATGCATTAAAAGAAGCACTTCGACCTGGTAAAGTGATTTCTTGTTCAAATACAAAGTAGTGGCGCATCGGCGAACAACAGACATTGTTCAGAAGCAAAGAAGTTACATATGCAAAGACAACAAAAGTACAAGAATGAAGACCCTAAGAACTAGGGACTAAAGCAAGAACATCGGACTGATCTGCTTCGACGATTGACGGTAGTTCAGCCTTAGCAGTCAGTTGGGGAAGCTTCTTTACTGTTATCTCGACATCTATTTCAAGAAGGGACGTGGTTCTAGGACTATACAAAAAACAGAAACGAGACAAGAATCTGGAAATACAACAAGAAAAGACAAGAAGAGAAAATTTGGAGCCAAGAATAGTGGTGAATCATCAAGAATACTGTGACAGAGTGTATGCAAGGGTACAAGGCCAAGAACAGTGGCAAAAGTGCAAGAAAGTTGTGAACAATATGTGTATTCAAGACTTTGGCAAAAACAAAATCATGAAATAGACACACTGAGATACATGATTCATGAAATTGAATACTTGAGCAAAACAGCAATGGTAACAAGTAATAAAGCAAAAACTCTTGAAGAGCAACAAAAATTGAAACCAGAAGGAATAGTGGCTTATTAGAAAAAGTGAAGCCGGTATGAGGGTCGCCAAAATCAGACGACGGCAACAATCGGAAAGGATCAGCAAAAGCCTCACCGGACCGGAGGGAGAGTGTGAAACTGGTTGCAGAAAGCTTCGCAAAAGCAGCAAATGGAAGATTTGAGAGGGTTAATTTTGATCAAAAGCATGAAATGGCGGGAAAATGGCAATTCTGGTGCTTGGGACGACATGCTTGTCAGACAACGAAAGTAAGTGCGAGACGACTTAATGACGCATATCAGACATAGCTCCGTAGAGGAAAGATGCGTGATGGTTTCGGTTGAAATATTGTACATGCCAGTTCATACACGTGGTGAAACACTTGGAGTTTTTGATTTAATGAACCAAATACCTCGGCTAGGAGGACGGTTTCGGTTGAAAAACTTGGACGAACTTGGTTGTTGGTTCCAAAGTTTTGATGAAAGCAGATTATAGGTTTCGATCATATTGAGCCAACGAGTTCTGACTTCCGCAATAGATGATGAAGCAAGCTTAGCCGACGTGCTAAATGGAGGAAATGATATAGGTTCCATCACCTCAGGATGTCGAGGTAATAGAACCTAGGGGGCAGTTGTGGGGACATAATTCTTGAATGGCAACACGTGGCCGAGGTGTCACCGAAGTGCCAACCGAGGTGCCACGTGTCCTGGTCATGATACCGAGATGATCGCGGTTAGGCCGAGGTTATCAACGAGAATACCGAAATCCGAGATAAGCAGATAAAGAACAAGAGTCCTAAAATGGGAGAAGACTTCAGTTTGGGTAAAGATGAGACTCTTAGAGAGCTTATCCCGATCCTATTGGGAGTCCAAGATTAGCAGTAATTCTGAGTCCATTAGAGTTAGGCTTCCATTGGGACTAGGATTGAGTTGGCTATAAAAGAGAGGTACCCCCATGGGTCTAAGGTATGTCTTTTTATGCTCAAGCTAGTGAGTTTAACACTATTGATTATCTTTGAGAGATATTGAGTACTGACTTGATCGTCGGAGTACCCCCGGGTGGCGAACCACCACCGGAGTCTTCTCTTTCTATTGCAGGTTAGTCAAGTGCTATCTATTCTGCCGGTGCTCTCCAGTTGGATACTAAGATTGCAGTGTGGGTCAGATTTTCACCCACACAGTTAGTTTTCTATTTTCTCTCTCATTTGGTTGATTAGCAGCCAAATTAGTAGGGTTTTCTTTACAAAGTAAAAGTAATACTCTCATCTCTTTCTTAATAGATTATTGTGTGTGTACATATATTGATTAAAGAATTTTTAAATTTTTTTTTTTCCGTGAAGCCATAAAGATCATCAATTGATCATTAGTGGAATAGAGAAAGAACGATTCTCAAAATCAAATTATGAGTATTGTTTTTCTTTAATTTTCTAAATGCATGTAGGATTTTGGGTATACTTTTATGGGTTTTGTTGATTTTTCCTATACATATATATTATCTATGTATATATACACACATCTATGAAGAGTTGGTTGGGTTCCACAAAACCCATTTACTTTGATTTAGTAGAAATTTGAGGGACTATTGTATTGAGTTACTCTGTTAAATAGTTGTTGTGCCATTACTATTGTTTAGTTGTTACTAAAATGTTCAATAACCATTCTATCTTCCTTACTTATTAAGTGTTTGATAAAATGTTTCAATGAAATTTATACATATACACAAAAAAAAAAAAAAGAGAAGAAAAAAACCAAGATTAAACTTCATCTAAAATATACTTATACATAAATATAATATAATGGAAGTTGTTACTATGTGTATCCCTAAAGGGGTGCTTATGGTATGTCTATTTTTTTAACATATATTAAACTTCATCTAAAACATACTTTGTCATAAATATAATTTTTTTTTTACTGGTGCACACACAATAAATTTGCAATTTATAATTTTACCACAAATTGACTTTAACACACCACAAACATTGGTAATTTTCATCATAAAAATTCATATCTGTCTAATGATGTGTATCCTTTTCTTTTTTTTTGGATAAATGAACAAATTTTATTAATATGATGTCCGTCCTTTTAAGAGTGGACATTATTATTTAGCCAAGAGAATGCACTAAAAAAAAATCAGAACAAGATTGAAACCTTAAACAAATAAATTATGGGTCAAAATTAAAAAAATAAATTATGTGTCAGAATTAAAAAAATAAATTATACAAAGACAAATCAAACTTGAACTTACACTTTTTGTACAAAAAAAGCAATTGTCAAAATTGATCTGACCTACTTTGGTCAATTGGATAGAAATAAAGTCATTCTTATTCATTTTTTATTTTTGCAATCTCATTGATCAGAAGTACCACGTGTATATACTTTTATGAATATTCAATAATTTTTCAAGTATGATTTAATTATGTAATGTTACAAGCCTATTGGACAATTTTATTTTATTTTTAAATTTCTTTTCCTTTTCATTATTGTGATTTAAAATTTCTTTTCCAACTTTCGATACTTAGATCTCAGCCCAAAATTTTAGAAATTAGGATACTTTGTCAGTGCTGAATTTATCTGTGAATAGAATCAATAATTAACTTATCTTTTCCCTATAAATTTGGATATTTCATTTTTTTTCTTCTTTATTCCATCATCCCCACCATCACCAACACGGGACACGTTGTAAAAAAAAATGTTTAAAAAAATTAATCAACACACAAGAATACGAAAATATACTAATTTTTTTTTTATATTTTTGGTATTTAGTAAATTTTTTTAAAATAATGTTAAAAATATTATATTTTTTAAATGTATTTATATTAAGTGTATCTAATAAAAAAATTGCTTAAAATATATATATATAAAAAATAAGTGAAAACAAAAAAACACTAAAAGTAAAAATTCAATTTTTTAAAAAGTGGATTTAAACTTTTGAAACCAACTAAGGTGAATAGTAATATATTTTAATCTTGTCATTTTTATCTTTTTAATTTTGATTTGATTGATTTTGACCTTATATTTTTTATTTTATCTCAAATTAATCTAATTATTCCAATTGTTAATATTTTTATGGTAAATGTGCACATAAATTATCTTTCATGAGCAAAATTTTATATTTGATCAATTCAATTAATTTTTTTTATCAAAACTCTAACAGTGTTACGTTTTTTTAGGTAATAAGGGAAGTTAAACAACAACACAGATTAGGAAATGAGTGAGTCCCTCTCATACACAATTCTAATCATGTTAGCCACTAAAATGAGCCTTAGCAAAATAAAGGGGCGTCATAGATCTTCAAGTCTTTCGTTTGGTTTTCTCCCATTTGAGCAAGGGCATCTGCACATTGATTGGCTTCTCAAAAAATGTGCTTGATAGTGCAGTCCATTCAGAAGGTATGGAATTTGATGTATTGCACAAGAGCACGATAAGGGCAGTTTGGGTGAGCTTCATCATTGATGATTTTGGTAACATCTTGATAGTCTGTTTTAATTATCACATTTCTCCACCTTTTTTCGTGAATGATGTTTCAACGTTATCAATTAAATCAAATTATTACAAAATCTAAAATTAAAAATAAAAATTAAGTAAATTAAAACTGAATTAAAATGACACAAATAACAAAATATGAGGACCACAAGTGTAATTTCCTCTCTACTTAACCAAACAAAAATAAAAGCCCATTTTAAAGGCCGAATGAGTATTACATGACTATATCATATTTTTTCATACAATTAATGAATTATTAAAAATGACTTAAATGTTATGTGGACAAAAATTTTGAGAAAGATTTGTGCAATCATTTAAAAAATATAGAATTAATTTATTTTCTCTAAACCTTAAGAGCATATTTAGTACGGAGAAATGGAATTAGTGTAGGAATGAAATATAAGGTTGAATGTCATTTCATTGTTCAGTGGCCAACATGGTATCACATTGGTATATAATTATAATTTTTCATTCTTATGTTTAGTTATATATACCAAACAAGTTTCGATTTCATTTACGAAAACGAAAAAAAGAAGCGTTAACAAATGATAAACTGATTCAATTGCTTGCCACGATCGTCTCTCCATGTTGTTCATTATTGTCATTGTTATTCAATGCTGTATATTCATGATGCACTAAGTTATGCTTAACATATTAACAATTTCAAGCACGATTGTTTTTCTGGAGAACAAGCGGCTGTTGCCAAGGAATGGTGACGAAAATGTCTAGGACCTACTAGTGTTTGCCCTGGTGTTTTAATGACTTTCAGTTTGTGTCAAGAGGTTGGAATTTGAAACCGTGTATCGTGCAATGAGTAATATTTTTTGCGTTGTTGAAAATTTATTAAGTTTCTGATTCAATTTTGGAAATGGTGCTTAAATGTCTCTTTCATAGGTTACACTTCTTTTCCCTGTTCAGTCACAGCGAATTAATTGCTTCTAGCGATTCTAGCTAAGAAAACCAGTGGTGCCATTACAACTGATATTCCAGCTACAAAATATATATATAATTCTTTGCTGTTAAAGAACTTGGAAATGGCATTGTGCTTCACATGCCTCAAAACTCGATTCCGGCCTGGTTTATGTCCACCCCTACCAACATGCTTCTTAGATTAAGGTCTCAGTATTGAACATTTTTCTCATACCTCTGCCCTGCTTGGCAATTCCAAAGCTATAAATAAATACAAAATTTAGAAAAACCAGAAACAAGTTAACCCAAAACCTAAACAGGGAGTCAAAAAATGCAATGAAAGGAAGAAGCAAAATCCAGAAACAAATTGACTACATTCGATGGCAAACATTGATGATTGTCTCATTCGGTACACAGAATCCGTACAAATTGCAACCAGCACCACAAGGGAGAATCAAATGAAGAATGAAGTTTTACATGCATACGCCGCTTGAATTCACCACTCTAAGAGCACATGACAGAAACTAGAACCTCTTAAGAGATCACAACCGAAGCTAGAACAAAGAACTGCAATTCTAAAACAGGCACAGATCGATAGGCCACTTCTTCTAGCGTTGCCTTTGAAGTTGAAATTTTCTCAAATTGGCATATCCCATATCATCTTCCCCCACTACTGGTGTTCACCTTTTCCAACTGGCCATCTTTACTTCGGTCTGCTTTCACATCAAAATCAGGGTGGCCATCGTGGTCCTTGAAGCCCAAACTAAGATCCAAAGTGCTTTCGTTCAGATCTTGCCTTGCTAATGGAATATTACCCGGGGCCTGACATAAAAATACAATTCACAATTTCATATAAACTTGCCACAAAATGTGCATCTAAAAGGTTTGGTAGTAATTAGGGTTGTAGTCACCACACAAATCTAATGAATACATGTCAACTTCAGGGGGGTTTAGAAGTCACAAGAAAATAATACCATTCCATTTTATTCCTCATGGAGTCATGGCATTCTAGGAATAGTGCCTACTGTTTTCTTTTCTTTTGGAGAGAAGAACAAATGAATGAATCAATGAATCAATGAAAGAAAGTCTCATTACATGCAAGCTATGTTACATGGACTCTCTGTATGAATATTGGGTGTGGGTGTCGGTGTGCCTCCAAGCGTTAAATTTTCCTAAACCTAAATCGTATGCAAGGTATGGGTATAAGAACACATCTCAAACACTAATATATATTTCATATTGTATAATAAATATTCTTAGCTAAGATATTGTAAATTGTTTAGAAATGTACTTCAAAGAAAATGAGATTTAGGAAAATTATGGATTTTACTTCTCCCATTTGTGTGAAAAGCTAAAAATGTTAGTACAAGTGATGTGAGTGTCATCTTCTACAAACATTATATAAATTCTAAAGATCCATGCGTCTAAAGGTCACACACATATCCCACACATCTACTCTGTCATATTGGTGGACACGGGTTTATTAAGAGAAGAAGATGAAGAGTCTACGTACACACAATGCAAGAGTGCCTGAACAGCTTTGTCCTAAGAACAGAAGATACTCCAAGAAGAACTCAAACCAAGAATAATAGGGAAAGGAAACAAGAATAGAACATGTAATTAGGTCACCTGACTTTCGTCCATGGGCAAATCATTAATGTCAGGTTTATCATCCAAACCATCGTTCTTCGAAATTGCTTCTGCTGCATGTGCTTCAACATCAACCTTTTCTGCAGCCTCATTTTCTAGCACAGCAATCTGAATATCAAATCATCCCGAAAATCATACATCAGCAAAACCCATAAACAAACGATCTTACTGCATGTGTTAAAGTGAAAATGAGCACAGTTCAGTGTCATGCTTATAGTAAATTTTACTTCCAACTTATCACTTTGCATCTTTGAATTTTTTTATTTTTTATTTGGAAAATGCCGTACTCTTTAATATTCTACGACATGTTAAAAACACTTGGTCATAAGCCCTTGCACGTAGCTTCTTTAGGTTATATCCATGAGGCACGGACACGACACGGACACACGAATAAGCAAATTTTCAAAAAACAAGGGACACGACACGCTGGGAACACGTTCAATATATAATTTTATTTACTTATATAACACTTAAAAAAATTAAAAAAAAAAAAACATACATTTCACTACTTTAACATCAAATGTCATATTTAAGTATAAAAAATTTCCTATAAAATTACAATAACAATATAATTAATGAACACATTCAATAAAATAATAAAATTAATAAACACATTCAATAAATTGATTTTTTCTGACAAATAAAAGTAATTAGTTCTATATATATGTTCAAGGTTAAGCAAACAAGAATACCCCAAAAAATAGAAAAAAAAGAAAAAAAAAAAAGGGAAAAAAGGGAAAAAAAAGAGGGGTTAAGATATAAATAAATAAATAAAAGATTAAAAAAAAAAAAAGAAAAAAAAGAAGAAGAAGATATTTTAAATCTCTCATATGAGAGAAAAGAAAAAGAAATAAAAAATAAAAAGAATTTTTAATCTCTCAAAAGAGAGAATAAAATATATATATATATAAACACAAATCATATATATATATATGAACACAGATCAGAGACCTAGAAAATGCGGAGGGAAAAAGAGACGAAAACAGAGAAAGAGAGAGAGTGACGAGTTGCAAAACAGCGAGAGAGAGAGAGAAAAAGCCGAAAGACACACAGCTAGAGAGGTGAACTGCGAGCCGAAAGACTGCAAACTGCGAAAGACACATAGCTCGATCTGTTCTTCAACTGGTTCTTCACGAGTTTAGGTTCTTCACCCTCTTTCGCTTCTCTCTCTCCTCCCTTCGCTGTTCTTCTCTTCTTCTTCTTCGATTCTCTTCTCTCTTCTTTTCCTGTTTCATTTTTTACAGTTTGGCCCCATTTAGAAGTTTTAGAAATTAGGTTTTGTACCCCGTAGTGTCCGAAACGTGTCCGAGCATGTCCAAAACGTGTCCAGTTGCAAAAAAATTCAAAAAAAAAAACGGACACCTTAGGGAGAGTGTCGGACACGTGTCCACAGCGTGTCCAACGCGTATCCGTGTCCAACACGTGTTCGACACTAATACGCAAACCCTGGAGAAGTGTCCATGCTTCATAGGGTTATACTGTCCAAAATACTAATTTTTTTTTTTTTGGGGATAAATAATGAGTTTTATTGAAAAAGCATCAAGCTGATGCAAGACGAAAAGAAATAAAGAAAGCACGCCTAACCAATTACATCATCCAAAAAATCTAAGAAAGAAAAAAGATCCAGCTCAACTTTACACTCCAACCTAATGTTGTTAGAGGCGCGCCTAAGCGAGAAGTGAGGCGAGGCGAGGCGAGGCTATTGCGCTTCATAGGGTTCGAAGCGAGGCGATATGGAGAGGTGAGGTTGAGGCAAGTGAAGCGCGGCTTAGGCGATGAAGCGCAATGCGAAACAAAGCGTCGCTTCTTGCTTCAACGATCTGGGCCTTTCATTTTTCCTAATTTTGTGTTATTTGTGGACATGCATTGCACCTTAGAATTGCTTTCTACTATTTATTGAGTGTAAAACCCTAGTTTCTGGGGGTATCGAAAGGAGAGAGAGAGGAAAAGTAAAGACGAAAAACAGAGAAAGAGAGAAGAGAAACGAATCTGGTCCTGCTTCGTCTTCTTCTTCGACATCGTTTCTAAGGTAAGTCTTCTTCTCCTACTTCTTTCTTCTCTCTTCCTGCTTCGTCTTCTCCCTCTTCTCTTTTTTTTCGTCTTTCCTGCTTCGCCTCTCTCTTTTTCTTTTTATTTTCCTTCTTCTTTCCTTTATTTCATCTCTCAGTAGTTTTTTTTTTCCCTTTTGTTTTTTTTATTCGCTTTTTTTTTTCTTTCCCTGATTCTTGTTCTGTTTCTCTTCTATTTATTTTGCTGAAAAAAATTTCAATTAATTTTACTAAATTGATTTTACAATTGTATAATTATTTTGCTGTGTTAATTGTATAATTATTTTGCTGAAAAATATTATATGGACTAATAAATTTTATAACATTGTCTTACTAATTAATATGTCATGTACTAATGAAAATTTAAAATATAATTCACTTTAATAATAAGATAAGTGTCACATTATTGAATAAAGAGAATAATAAAAATTATTAGAGCATTGCATTGATTTATTAAAGAAGGGGAAAATTATTTGGGATGGTTGATTGGTTTGATGTTTGATGTTTTTTTATGAATATTTAGTATTTAGAATGTTAGATTTGTTGGATATTTTGTGTTGTTTAAGGATATTTAGTGTTTAACATGATAAATGCATGATGGTTCTTGAAAATATTTATATTTTTGTCTACACTATTTATTTTTAAAAAATATCCTTTGTGTTCGCCTCGATTCGATGAAGCCCTCGCCTCACCTCGTCACCTCGCGTTTAGGCATTAGGAGACCTTGTCGCCTCAGTTTGCTTTTCACCTTAAAAAACACTGCTCCAACCAACTATACAAGGTAACTAAGAACCGACCCTCCAACCAAGCCACCGAATGCTGGCTGTCCTGGAAAATTCTCCTGTTTCTTTCCAGCCAAACCAACCATATCAAACAAAAAGGCACCAAGGCCCACACCCGTCGCCGCCTTCGGCCAACCCGAGCCCCCCTCCAACTCCACAACATATCCACCACCCCCTTTGGCTGCACCCACTGTCCAAAATACTAATTGATCAACCACCAAGAATGTGTTTCCATCAGCTAAAAAACCATGAGCTGGAAACCAAACTGCACATGCTATTCCCAAATCCCATCATAGTTTACTACCTTCTCACTCCCTGTCCACCACTAATTTGTATAGGCTTTTAACTCGATAAAAATGGATCAAGTTCCAAACTAAGATTAGTAAAGACAAAAATGCCTCTTCCCTAGTACAAAGAATACTCGTTTATATAGCAGGGTAATCGAATTCCTTCATTATGAGTAAGGATTTCTTTCCCCCCTCAGCCAAAACATATCATCAGACATAAATCCCAATGGCAAAACAAGATTCAAATTACTGACCTCATATTTTTTGAATAAAGCTTGATTTAGCTGGAAATGCATCAAAACAGAATTTCAAGAACCAGAGGCCCACTACCATGTCACAAAAGCCTAAGACTTACATGAACAACAGTTTCCAGCACTTAGACAAAGTCTTTGACAAGAATCACAAAAGAAATAACCCTTTTTTTTTTTTTGGGTGCTCAAACAAGTTGGCACCTTGCACTGCTTTCAATGTCTGGAACATCATCCAAAATGCATGAGAATTCATGTCATACACAACCAAAAATGCTAATTAAGGCTTCACTGTCCTTTAAAAGTGACAGATGACTTGTTTTTTTCCTTTTAAAAACTAGATGTGAAAAGAAAAATAATTACCCAATAAAACCCAAGTTCAAATAGATCTGCAAAATATGCATGTCTTTAAATTTCTGATATACCAACAAGCAATTTTTGGAGTAGTACATTTATCAAGGATGAATTCTGTTACATGCACTACTATATGCGACATATGCGTGTCTATCTGCGCATCCCATCAATAGATTCTTTTTTAATAGGCCAACGCAAGAAAAACCAAACACACAATAGCGCATTTACGGGCTTCCCAGTAGAGGACATAGTCATAACTATAAACAGTTAAACTGGTGCTGATGGAAAAAACACTCAACGTAGTGCTATTTTCACAACATTGGGAATCAGGTTTTTGGGATAACAAAATACATTGATGGATTAGTGCTATACCAGCATCACCATATAATGGTTGTGCACTTTATTTCACATACCCTTTGATTTTAATTGCTAAGAAAACCAATGAAACCAAAAAAAAAAAACAAAAAAAACTGTTTATAAGATCTACAGTCAAGGAGTTTGTAGTATAACTTGCTTTATTATTACTACAAACCCTACAATTATCAATTTTTAAAAACATTAATTGCATAATAAATCCAGTTTCATTCTCACAATTCAAACTTTTCAGGAAGTCTCAAATCTCCAGTTGAAAAAAAAAAAGGAAGCAAAAACCCTACACCACAGTTAAACATTAGATCACCCAACCACAATTCACCAAGCTCAATTCCTTACATAAAAAAAATCCACTCACCCTCACAATTCAAATTTCAAGAACCCTAGACTCAATTTCCAATTGGGGAAAAAAAAAAACCATACACCACAGTCAAACAGTGGATCACTCAAAACACAATTCACCAAGCTCAACAAAGAAAATCCACAACAAAAACCCTATAAAAAAATCCAGTCTCACCCTCACAAATCAAACTTTTTCAAGAACCCTAGTTTCCAAATTCCAATTGAATAAAATAAATAAAATAAAAATAAAAAACCAACACCACAATTAAACATTAGATCACTCAAACACAATCCATCAAGCTCAATTCCCTACATAATAAACAAAGTCCACAACAAAACCCTATAAAAGAAATCCAGTCTCACCCTCACAATTCAAATTTTTCAAGAACCCTAGTCTCAATTTCCAGTTTATAAAAAAAAAAAAAATTAAAAAAAAAAAAAAAGGCAGCAAAAACCCAACACCACAATTAAACATTAGATCACTCAAACACAATTCACCAAGCTCAATTCCCTACATAATAAACAAAGAAAATCCACAACAAAAACCCTATACAAAAAATTTGAAAAACAAAAAACCAGTCTCATCCTCACAATTCAAACTTTTCAAGAACCCTAATCTCAATTTCCAATTAAAAAAAAAAAGAAGCACCAAAAACCCAACACCACAATTAAACATTAGATCACTCAAACACAATTCACCAAGCTCAATTCCCTACATAAAAAAATTTTAAAAAAAACACCTTCCCACATAATGCATAAACCAAATATTAGTATTGGTATAAAACAACTGATGATGAAATTGAGACTCGAGAGAGCTTCTGCATATTTACCGGAATGTATTTGAATTTGCGGCGAGGCGGCTCCTCCGCCGCCGCCAATGCAGCGGCGGCGGTGACGTCATCATTGGCGGTGGTTTTGGTTCGGGAAATTGGTGTCCACTTGTAGAGCAAGAGGCGGTGAGAGCCGTTATTACCGTTAGTAACGGTACTATCATCGTTGTGATGGTTCGAAGAGGAGGGAATGTTGTTGGTGTTTGGAGATGGTGATTCGGGTACCCATTTTTTCTTCCATTTTCGAACCGGACCGTTGAACGCAACGGTCACCGTCGATGATGGTCCGTATCGAGTCGAGGACCGCCCGAATCGGGCCCCAACTCCCTCCATCTCTCTCTCTCTCTCTCTCTCGGATTCGGACCCCCGGCGACTCGGCTGATAACTCACAAGAATTTGAGGGTTTTTTTTTTCCTTCTCTATTTCTCTCTCCTCCTACTACTTTACCAAATTATTTTGTTTAATTTGATTATGCGTAAAATATTAATTTGATATAAATTATTATAATTCTTTTATCAAATTCTACTCTTATCTTAAATTCGAAAATATGGGTTTTTATTCACAAATTGTTTCATTTAGCTTAAATTATTTTTTTATATAGGTGATATAATTACTAAAATACTTTTATTGATAATAGAGTGAAACGTCTATTAATGTTTACATCAATAGTGTAAATATTCTATTATGTAAACATTCACACTTTTAAATTTATTTAATATGAATGTTCACCTAATGAAACATTTAAAATTGTGCAAAATAGTGCACACAAATTGCTAATGATTCAAAATATTTGTAGAGATAAAAGTATCCATAAAATATCTTAAATATGATAATTATAATTTGATAGATTAAATATCCAAAATAATAGCATTTATTGTAGAGATAAAAGTATCCATAAAATATCTTAAATATGATAATTATAATTTGATAGATTAAATATCCAAAATAATAGCATTTATTTAAATACAAGAATATCTTATAGACTAATTTGGATACGAGTATTTAAAAGAAGATTTTCTAATAAATTTTTCAAAAAAGTATCTCCAATATTTTTTTTTTATTTTTTTATTAAATTTAAATTTGATAAGTTCTCAATTTGATTTATAAAAAAAAAAAAAAAAAAAACGACTCTCTAGAAATAAATTTTTGAATGTTTTTTTCATCAAATTTAAATTTGATGAAAAAAATGTTAAGGGATTGAAAATGCTCTTAAAGAATTATTAAGAGTATTTCTCATCTTTTATCAATTATTATTTTTTTCTAATTTGATTTTAAATTTGAATAAAAAACCTAATTTGATATGAATTATTTCAATCATTTTATAAAATTTTCATTAAAATTTTTCTTTTCATAAAATTTGATGAAAAAAATCATATCCAATTCTTCATCTTTTTAAATATTCATCAAATCAAGGATTTGATGAGTTTTAATTTGATAAAAAAATGATGAAAATTGAAGATGCTCCAAGGGCCTTGACATATTTAGGCTTTTATAATTTTAAAATTAAATAATTACATTAAAATTTAATTTATTTCAAAAATTATGGTTAGAGCTTGATTGATATTCATGTTTAAAAAAAAAAATTAATACTAATATTCACATTTTTGTTCCTAAGATTTCTATCCACTTGTCTCTATTGCATTTTTAATTGTATGATTATACTTTCACATAGTACCATTGAAAGTGCATTGAAAACAAATTATGAAGACAAACAATCCCTAACCAAAAAAATCAGTTCAGTCGATTAAACATCTATTTCTATTAAGGCTAGGCTACAATGGTCAATTATTTCTACCATTTGATGGATAATAGTATCCAATACATTAGGGTGTATTGAAAAGTAGATTAAAAGTCAATTTTTTGGTTTTTTTTTTTAATTTTTTTTTTTTAAAAAAACATATAAAAAAGTAAAGAGATGATCTAATCTAAAAAAGTTAAAAAATTGACTTTTACCCAATTGCCAAAACACCCAAATGTCAATAACATTATTTATTTATTTATTTATTTATTTTTGATAACTGAGTGTTCGGGCTAGTATCCCTTCGGAGTGTCGCACCTTGACTAATCTCGGAACTTTGGGCTAATCGACTGAGCAAAGACACAGTGGCCCGCTAATAGTCAGCTGGGGGTGGGATTCGGAGTGTCGCACCTCGACTAATCTCGGGACTTTAGGCTAATCGACTAAACAAAGACACAGTGATCCGCTAGTAATCAACTGGGGGTGGGATTCAAACCTAAGATAGTGAGGAAATTCCTGATCCTTTGCCCTGAACCAACTGGGTTCAACAACATTATTATATGTATATCTATCTATACATTGTGAAATCTACCTAAACGTGAAAGATTTTCTGATTTCTGATTGCAGACCATCCACACACCTTGGAGCTCTCAAACACAAGTCAGCAACATCAATGAAAAAAAAAACAAATCAAATTTGTATACAGTTATAATCAACTAATCTATGAAATATCGGCTACAAGAGAGTGAATATCGCAGTGATAACCTTCATAGGGAGTCAGACATGTACAGGCACAGAAGAGCTCATCGATATGAAGCCTTCCAAACATTCAAGTATGACATTGTGGCTGACAAGCCCTGAAAGTGGGAGGCCTTCCGTGACACACTTGTCATACTTCTCCAGAGTCGACACAATGTGGCTGAAATCTGGTCGCTTAGAGGGGTGCGCTGCCCAGCAACGTTTTATGAGGTGTGCAAGGGTAGGTTGACAACTAGCAGGCAGTGGCGGTCCTTGATTCTGCCAATGCCATAAATAGAAGGTTGTTGAGGATCATGTATGTTTCCAAGTGATGGAACTAACAGAATCCAAATGAAAAAAATTGAAGTAGATAATAAGATGCATAATGGATAATATCAGTAAGAAAACAAGAACCATCTAAATGAGGAAATTTATTTATTTATTTTTTTGGATAAGTAATCACCTAAATGAGGAAATAATGAATAAACCAGACTCGAACAACGGTTCATCTATGTTGTTTTACTTCATAAGAATGGCAATTTGAGTTGTAAATGAGTCGAGCAAAGTAGAAATTTATTAAAACTTAACAAGTTTCGAAATGTATTTAAACTTGACTTGCTTACTTTTTAAGTTGATCTTAAACGAGATTTAATCGAGCTGATAACTAGTCAAGCTCGAGTAACATTATTTTTAGTGAATATAAACTTATCAAAAACATTAAAATACTTCAAAAAGCAAAGAAACAATTACATAGCCAAATTTTTAGGGAAAAAGTAAAATGATACATATAGAAAATGCTAACTTTTTGAGCCACGGCAAACGCAGCCTACACGGGGGTCATTCCTTGAAAGGGAAGCAAAGTTGTCATGAGCTCCCATAGCACGATCCCAAAGCTATACACATCAACTTTTCGAGTGTAAGCTTTCTCTTTAATCATCTCTAGGGCCATCCAACGGTAAGTACCCATGTTTCCTTCTGATTCTCTGCATTGTGTTTCCAAACATGATGTACCAAAATCTGCAACCTTTTTTGTTACAGAAGCAAGTTATTTGAAGCAAGTTATTTGACTTGAGGTCTCTGTGGATCACCCCTTGTGAATGAAGATACTCCATTCCTCGCGATATATCAAGGGCTAACCTCAAAATTGTTTCGGTTGAAAGTGAGTATGGCTGTTTCTTGTTGAGAAACATCCTTAGAGTTCCTTGTGACATGTGTTCTGTGATGATGCAGTACACGGGAGGTTTTTTGGTGGCTGCGATGAACTGTGGAAAAAGAAAAGGTCATTACTAACTTAACAAAGAGTAAATTACTGCAAGATCATAATTTTTTAAAATTGTGTTGAATTATATTGACCAGTAAACTTAGTCTTACAAGCCGATTGGTCTAATTTCGAAAAGCAAAAACTAAGAAAAGAAAATGCGTTGCAGATTTCAAAAAGTTTATGAATTCAAAATTACAACATGAGGCTAGAGGTTCACTATGATTTCGGGCAACAATGGAATGGCTTTCCTTTGGCCTCTTAATGGGTATCATGTCGTTTGAATGATCATTCCATTCAAATTTTTGTTCCTGTAAACCAAACACTACTTTAAGATCCCATTTTTTCTTTAAACATTGGAGGCCGTAGCATCAGAGAGAGGAAGACCTCTTGACCTCCTAGTAAAGTGTAAGAACTCTGCCCAACTAAACTAGTCTGGAATGTTATTCAACTGATTTTAGTTGATGATTTATTGCTTTTCTACTTTAAGAAACACATGCTTTCAAAACTAACACCATAAAACCAAAACAAAACCACGCAAAGCATACTTTTCACTCTCTTTAATTGGTGCATATAAAGCCTAACCTGTACTATATTGGGATGATAGAGCCTTGAAAGCAAGGCAACTTCAGACTTGAATTGCTGTTCAAGCAAAACTTTGGTCTCCTCTCTATGGCTTGGAATCCTCCCCATTTTCACTGCAACTGCCCTCTGCTTGTAAATTCCCTAGTAAATCCGACTATGCGCACCCGAGGCAAACTTGTTGCCAATGAACAGCTGTGAAAGATCAGCAGTCCATTCCTCGTGATCTTCCTTTGATGCCTCCCAAGTCTCAACATTATCAGAATCCAGGATCATTGACCATGTCTCCAAACTATCAAATCTCTTCCTTTCCATGTTCTCCAAATCGGAGTTCATTTGGGTGATGGACGTGGGAGGGATTGGTAATGGCTTCTCCTTGGACTTTCTTAGTCGAAATGGATTAAAACGGGACATCACTATTCTTGAAATTGACAAAATGGTGAAATTGAAGAGTCAAACACGCAATCAATAGGTGTTTTCCTTCTCAATATATGAATTGATTTCAAGAATGAATTGAAAATGGATTGAAACAGGACACTACCATTGAAATTCTGTGATTTGTTGAGGTTCTCTGGATTGAAAAAGACTTAGAATCAACGAGATGGTGAAATTGAAGTGTGAAAACACACAATCAAAAGAGGTTGTCCTTCTGAATGTGTCAATTGATTGCAAGAATGAATTGAAATAGGACACTACCATTGAAATTTTGTCCTTGGTTGAGGATTTTCTACCTTGAAAAAGACTCCAATCGAATCGACAAAATTAAAGTGTCAAAACATACAATCAAAAAGGGGTTTCCTTCTGAACGTGTGAATTGATTTCAACAAGTGCATGAACTGATTCAGAAACATGGGTTCCAAAGAAAACAGAGAATGGTTTTCAAGGATTGATCAAAACAAGGACAAACACAAAAAGAACATGTCAAAATCATAACATAATCAATAACAAAGAGTTCATTGATAATCACGCTTCCGTTTAACCGTTCATCAATGGATTCAGGTATGTCATTTTGTCTTGATTTCTTAATAATACACATGGTAAATGATCCAAAGTCTAAGGTTTATATTCTGAAATTTATGTTTACATATAGTTATTTCCATTTTTAAAATGCAAAAAAAAAAAAAA